CCCAAGTCCGTGCCGATGCGGACTGCCCGTTGGAAGTTCGAGAAAGCAGATTGGTCTGTTTTTACCGAGTCAACGCAGCTTGCCTGTACATCATTTGATAAAATCTCGGTGGACCAAGTTACAGAACTGTTAAGTGAGTCTATTCTTTATGCAGCATCTCTTGCTATTCCTATGACTTCTACGCATCTCCCTCGGAGACCCAAGCCGTGGTGGAATGAAGAGTGCACTGAATCGAGAAAAAAACAAAACAGAGCGTGGGGCATTTTTCGACGTTACCCCACGCAGAGTAATCTCCTCGCGTTTAAACAAATGAAAGCTCGGGCAAGATACATTCGCCGCCAATCTAAGCGAGACAATTTCCAGGGGTATGCGTCTTCAATTAATAGCACTGCAACACTAAAAGAAGTCTGGGATAAAGTTCATCGGATCGAGGGGCGATACCATGCTTTCGCAGTCCCACTTCTTTCCCACAATGGGATCTGTCCAGAGAGCCTAGAGGGTCAGGCCAATCTTCTTGGTCAGCATTTCGCTCATGTATCAAGTTCCAAGAACTCTTCCTCTGCATTTCTTCGATACAAAGAGCAAGCGGAAGCGCATGCCGTGAACACCTCAGGTGGTGTTCGCGAGGCTTACAATCAACCCCTCACACAGCACGAGCTCGAAATGGTCCTTCGCTCAACTAAGCCTTCATCTCCTGGACCTGATGGTATCCACTACCGGATGCTTACTCACCTTCATCCTTCTACGCTACTCTTTATTTTGTACCTCTTCAATCGCGTCTGGCAAGAGGGTAGATTCCCACTAGCATGGAAGGTAGCCACAGTCATACCACTTCTGAAACCCGGGAAGGACGCTTCGTCCGCATCTAGCTACCGCCCAATTGCCCTCACCAGTTGCCTAAGCAAGACATTTGAACGCATCATTAATAAAAGGCTCATGTACTTCTTAGAAAAACAAAACATTTTAGATAAAAATCAGTGTGGTTTTCGTTCCTGCCATTCCACTGTTGACCACTTGGTGCGTCTTGAAACCACAATTCGTGAGGCTTTTGTTAATAAACAACACTGCGTATCAGTGTTTTTCGACTTGGAGAAGGCATACGACACAGCATGGCGCTATGGAATCCTTCGTGACTTGTATGAAGTAGGGGTACGTGGCAGGTTGCTTGCTATCATAAAGAGCTATTTATCTGAGCGAACCTTTTTTGTGAAGTTGGGCACTGCTCTCTCCAGAGAATTTGTTCAGGAGGCTGTAGTTCCGCAAGGCGGTGTCTTGAGTGTTACTCTCTTTATAGTCAAGATGAACTCAATAGCCCGGTCTATACCTCCATGTGTGCAATATTCTCTTTATGTGGACGATCCCCAGATATCCGTTTCATCATGCAATCTTTCCATTTGTGAACGTAGACTCCAAGTTGCAGTCAACAACCTCTTGAAGTGGGCAGACGAAAATGGTTTTAGGTTTTCTCCTGATAAGACTGTGTGTGTCTGCGACTCTCGGAGAAGGGGAATCTCCGTAGAGCCTTCCTTACGAATGCACCAGACTCCCATCCCGGTAAAGAAGGAGCATAAGTTTCTGGGTCTTATTTTCGACCGTCAACTGTCCTTCATATCTCACATAAAGAATCTGAAGATAAAATGTCAGAAATCACTGAACCTCCTTAAAGTTCTGTCCCACAAGACATGGGGCTCTGATCGTCTATGTCTTTTACAAATTTATCGTTCTGTGATTCGCTCACGTCTGGACTACGGTAGCTTTGTATATGGATCTGCTAGGCAATCAGCTCTTAAGGCACTAGACCCCATCCATCATCAGGGACTTCGTTTAGCACTTGGAGCCTTCAGAACGTCGCCTGTGCTCAGTCTCTATGCTCAAGGAAATGAGATGTCCCTTGACAGACGGCGTTTCTCCCTAGGGTTTATGTATTCGTTAAGGATACGTTCAGTCGCTCAGCATCCAGCCCGGGAGGTTGTGGAGAGCACTAGATACCAGAAGACATTCGAAAACAAGCCTAGCATTATCCCTCCATTCGTGATGAGAAACAGGAATTTGGCAGAATCTATTGGGATAGGCAGTAAGCTCCCAGTTGATACAGTTGCGAGGATGGTGGCTCCATGGGATTTTAACTGCATACGTTGTGATTTTTCATTAACAAAGTTCAATAAGAAGGATACCCCAACTGAGGTCATGCGACAAGAATTTTTCGAACTCCACAAGGAACACAATTCTCATTCCCACTACTACACAGACGGCACAAAAACTGAATCATTTGTTGGCTGTGCCATGATTGGCCCTTCAGTAAGAAGTGTTCGTAGGCTTAATTCGTCCGCTACTGTTTTCACTGCTGAACTGCATGGCCTTCTGCTTGCAGTAGATCACATCATCCAAACAAGTAACTCTCGGTCAGTTGTATATACAGATTCGCTGAGTGCTTTACGGGCTCTGACATCCCTTGAAACCCCAAAGAATGCCCTCGTTGTTTTATTACAAAACAAAATAATAACGGCAACCAGGAAAGGATGTAATGTTCTATTCTGCTGGGTACCGAGCCATGTTGGAATTCCAGGGAACGAAGAGGTAGATCGTGCTGCGGGCACTTCTGGCTCCCGTGCTGTAGACATTAGGAGCATCCCGTACAGAGATTACTGTGCCCTAATTAAATACCATGTTAAAGCCCAGTGGCAAGCAGAATGGAGCCTACAGGTGTCAAACAAACTGCACATGATTAAGCCTTTTCTTAGTGAGTGGCAGAGTGCTAGGCACAGAGACAGGTTTTATGAGGTAGTCCTTTGTCGACTACGCATAGGACACACGCGGCTCACGCACGGACACCTCTTACGTGGGGAGGACCCTCCTGGATGTGAACATTGCCAGGAACCGCTGAGTGTCTCACATATCCTTCTAGAATGTCCTGCGTATGAAGAAAAACGCCTCCACTACTTTTTCCAACTGTACAAAGAGCATGTTCCTTTACACCTATGTGTGTTACTTGGAAATGAGCCACTACTCCCACCCACCCAGGTTTTTAAGTTTTTAAAAAGCGTTGATCTTTTGCACAAATTGTAGCATTATTTATAATGTATGGTCTTACTCTTATTTTATACATTTTGCAAATTACCAGCTACTAAAGCTCTTTCTTCTCCAAAATCCTCTTCTGCAATAGTATCATTTCTTGGCGCATCATAGCCTTAGCTGCTTTTGCGCCACAAAACCCCAATCTACTACTACGACTACTGCCTCCAGTGCCACAGGGGTTATGCAGGACACGATTTCTCTTTAGTTTTAGAGCTCGAACTTCGCATGCCTAAAATTCGACGTCCAGCACTATTTTGTCAGACTCCTTGCGGAGCATTTCTAATTTCCTTCTTTATGTGGATAATTACGATACATGTAAGTGGATTTTAGATTAGATCTATGTTATCTTATCAAGACACACACCTTCCAAACACCAAAAGCATTGCTGTTTCCTCCGACAAGCAAATGTCATAAGAACTACTTTGCACCGCATGTGAACAATGCGCAAAACCTGCTTTTTTCTTGAGGTGAAAACGGGTATAGTCATATGCTGGTATATTTTTAAATGTCATCTATCTATGGCCACAGTATCAGTTGTATCCTTCATACTCTAAGGTCATACCAGTCTATTTCTGAGACCATATTTTCAGTTGCATCTTTGTTATGCTGTTTAGTTATGGACTGATGGACTGTTTTATTGTTTTATTTACTCCTTTTATGTGGGTAATCACTGGTCAAGTTGCAATGACTATTTAGAAGATTTTTTTTACATGCTGCTTAGACAGATCGTTTTATTTACTTCCTAATATAAAAGGTCATCACTGGGCCAAAATATAATAAAAACAAAATTATTCGCTTGTTCGTCTTTTTTTTTTCATTTTTCCATACTGCTCACATATTCAATAATCAGTATAATATTCGGAGGTGCTTTCCCTTGATATTCGATTCGAATTCGAGATTATCAATATTTGCATACCCCGAATAAAAAGCTGTTGCATTCCTTTCAGAGCACCGACTCCACTGCCGAGCACAAGATCGCTTTGGCATCAACATCAGGGCCAGGTGCTCCTGAACACTCGGCAAGTTTATTACACAACCTAACTAATGCAAGCTGCAGCATGGTCTGCTTATTAGGATAAACATATGTGGCATGGTAACTTACATTATTGGTAGGGTTCTGTGTTTTGGGATAAATTCGAAAAACTCAGAACATTACCCGCCAGTAAAATTCTGGTCAATTGGGATTTATCCGATAAACACCGAATTTTTATGTGTCAATGCCGCTCCCCCCTTCCCGGAAAAAAAAAAAAGAAAATAGTGAAAAAACTTTTTTTTTACAATTTCATCAGCGCAGGGTCCATGTTCCTGGGTAAATGCCACCATAATTATCTTTCAAATTTCGAACCGTTGTCAAATGGGGTCTTACTGCTTGCCTCGTCAAGGTTGATTCAGGGCAACAGGTCATTGTACATACGGGTCACGACAAAAGCCACTCTTTTGGTTTCTGGTTTGAGCCATGCGATTTGTGATTTAGAGAAAGGAGAGGATATGTTTTTGTAACGGTGAAAGCTATGGACCATAAAGATTGTATAAAATAGGGAAGAGGGGCAGTTGAAACTTCTCTATTACATCCTTAACCACTCTACCTCGCGCGGCCGCGTTCTAGATTGATGAAATAGGTGGGTATGACTACGAGCTTCCTAGCCACTACCCCCTGGACTTTATTGATTCTAAGGTACCGACGTTTATCGAAGCAACACTTGTGTGCGACTTTTGTGGTGGGACAAATTAGTATTGCCAATGGCAATGGCACCTGCGCCAAACTCAACTGAAGAAATTTTAAATGATACAATCGCGTTTTATTTTTTATCTGGCACATGTTTACATCTGGTTATTATTTATTTATTTGTTTTTAATAGGAAACACTGCAAAATTAAGCTCAGAATTTCCGAGAATTGGGAATCAAACAAATATAAACTCAGAATCTTCGGCAAAAAATAAACTCTGAAAACCATCCTTTGAATTTAATGAAAAATAAACTCCGAAAACAAGGAACCCCAATTATTGGGCATAAAACATTGTTGCATTTATTTCAGAGCACCAGCTCCACAGAAGAAGTCGAGTGCATCATCGCCTTGGCCTCCATATCAGAGCCAGCTACTTCTGAACACTCGGTACGTTTAATACATACTTCAATTAATGTGAGCAGCAGCGTAATCTGCTTAAAGGGGCCCTGCAATCATATTTAAGCGTCTAACTTTTTTGCGGTTTCCACGTCTCTTGGGGTTCGGGCAAGCCAGCGGGCACGGATAGAGTTACTTAATATCATTGCGTCCTATTTTAACGGGACGACGCGGAAACCTCCTCCACATACGGGGGCGACCCGCGGTGCCGAAAGCGCGCGATATGTGAGGTCTTTGGTCCTGGCCTAACTACTGGTCAGAGCCACGAAAAGCTTCTTTTTAGTCGAAATACAAAATATAAGTGGCGCGAACCGTTTCAATTATTTTGTGAGAGTAGTTTTTGTTTAGTATTTTAGATCAGAAAAGAAACCAATGCAGTTTATAAAGTACAGAAACAAGAAATGACCCGTCGACATACCCGCCACCAAGCGGTGGAAAAGGCGGCGCATACTAGGAAGGGGTAGTGGGATCGGGCATTGACGAGCGGCGAGCGTAGAAAGGTCCCGGATGTACGCGGTGGCGCTACGGTCGTAACCGGCTTGAGGATCCTACCGGTTCCGAGCATTCCGAAGGCCTTCGGCACAGGTTTGGCTTGCGATTTGGCCGTTTGGCGGTATGGCAGCGCGAAGTGGCTCCTGTTCTGAACCGATCTTTACCCCGTATTTGCTGTCATTTGTGGCCAATGAAGTGCCGAATGAGTCTTTAATTGCGCAGCAGATGCAATGCAAGCCGCCCTGAACGCCCGCTTCATACAGCCTATCCAACACATGCTTTAGTGGCGCCCCCTCGAGCTGTTGACACGGAGTGCGGCAGCCGTGAGGGCTCGCTGAGCTCACTACCTCTCCTCTAGTTCACAATCACTCAAGCCACGACCAACGACGTCATGAAGGAGGTTATTTTTTTGCTTGTTTTTGTAATTTTAATTTGCCTATAACTTCTAAAATAAAGCGAAATTCGAGAAAAGAAAAGTTTCATTAAGTTACTACGTTCAGTCCGCTCAGGTTCGGTGCAAATTAAAAACCAGTGAAAAAGTTGTTCCAGGGCCCCTTAATGTAATAAACATATCAAGCATGCTAACTTATTTTAGTGGCCATAAAATGCTGTTGCATTCCTTTCAGAGCACTGACTCCTCGCAAGAGGTCGAGCAGATCATCTCTTTAGCCTCAACTTCAGGGCCAGCTGTTCCTGAACACTCGGTAGGTCTAATACATAATCTAAGTGACGTAAGCAGCAACAGGATCTACTTAATGTGAGAAACATATCTTGCGTGCTGGGGATGAAAAGTTGTTCCTTTCAGAGCACCGACTACATGCAAGAGGTCGAGCAAATTGTCGACAGCGATTTGGCCTCAACATCATGGGAGTCTACTCCTGAGCACACAGTAGGTTTAATTCAAAACCGAATCGATGTGAGCAGAAGCCTGGTCTGCTTAACGCGATAAGCATGTTGTCTCAATTGATAGACTGATTTTGTTTACAGGCAACTGATCATGGCTGCCAAATTCGGTCAGATGTGTGCCGCCAGGGGATCCAGCGGGAAGACACATGCCATCGCGACCACGCCTACTCGAAACCCAAAGCTCCAGCTGCGACTCCTGCTCTTCATAGTGGCTATAGCCTTGAGGATCGAGACATTTTTTTTTATACCGGTCTCCATGCAGACGTCTTCAAGGAGTTGGTGAAAGTTGTGCCACAGTTTGCTACAACAAATTTTATGATGCCTGTTGAGCAGCAGCTTTTGCTCACGCTAATGAAGTTGAGGCTCGGCCTTATATATGGCGATCTGTCGAGGAGGTTTGCGGTTTTGGTTTCAACTGTAGGGAACATTTTTCGCGCCATGCTTGCTACACTAGGGCAAGTCCTAAGGAATGTAGTGGTGTGGCTCTCTCGAGACACTATCTTCAGAAACATTCCGCGATCCTTTGAGGAGAATGGTTTTGCAGGCACTACTTGCATCTTGGATTGCACTGAGGTGTTCTTGCAGCGACCGAAAAAATTGCTCGCTCGGGCACAGACGTATAGCTCATACAAAGGCCACAACACTGTGAAGTTTTTGGTGGCTATTGCACCCCACGGATCGGTGATGTTCGTGTCCAAGGTCTACGGTGGACGAGCGTCTGACAAGCATATTGTAAAAGACTCTGGAATCATTTCACACTTTGAACGTGGCGATCATGTGATGGCCGACAGGGGTTTTTCTCTTGATCCCGAGATGGAACCGAAGGGAGTAGCACTCAACACGCCAGCCTTCACTCGAGGGAAGGCTCAGTTATCCGAACAAGAGGTGACGGAGACTAGGAGGATTGCGTCTGTCCGAATTCACGTAGAGCGGGCAATAAATAGGATGAAATCCTACAGGATTTTGAAGCAAGCACTCCCCATACAGCATCGCAAGGTTGCAAGCGACATAGTTTTTGTATGTGCAGGGTTGTGCAACCTGAAGGGGCCTTTAATCAAAAAGTAATGTTCTCCCCAACACTTTGCCCATATGAAGGTGAAAAGGTGATTGCTGACAACTGTATACTGGCAGCACCCTGGAGAAGTGGCCATGGCAGCTTACTGTCCTCATTCCACGCCTTGTCACGTGTCGTTCACAAGGCAAGCAAGCAGCTTTGGCCTTCACTCCATGGTACTGCAGTATGGGGCCGTCGGCAATCACCTGTTCAACTCTATATACTGTAAATAACTTATTTTTTGCGGGCTCAATATTTCGCTATTCAGGTCAAACCTTAAGTTTTGGAATAATTAGTGGGTTCCAATTTTCACGGCGCGGTGGGATTTCAATGTATATTTTAATCTACATTGAGGGACGAATAAGGGAGCGGACGAGCGGCTTGCATGCTTTCGCATTCACAACTCATAAGGAATGCTTAAGTGTACCTCTATCTTTTGATCAATCAAACTTGTTACTGCCAAAACTTTCAAGCATCACACATTGTATAAAAAAATAAAGAATACTGCACTGCCTGTCCGCCTCGGTCCATTACATACGTGCAAGCTGCTTGTACTCATTTGAGAGCGTTATCTTTCCAGAGTTAACGTCCTCCACAAATGCCGGCAACAGGCTCTTGAAGTAGAAGTTCTTCACTCTTTGTAGGTAGCACTTCATGAAGTCCTTGTTGTAGGGGACAACTACAACCTCGTCATGGCCCTCTGACCACACATAGAGGTGGCAGACGGTCTTTCCAGTGCAGTGCATTGCAAACTGAACTTGATAATAGAACTTGTTTCTTCCCTTTGGTTGCAGCTCGAAAATGCCATTGCCATTCTTTTTTATGTCGTATTTTCCGGAATTTAGAAGGTCTTCACAGTTCAATACATTCGGGCACTTTATCTCTAAAAGCAAGTCAATTCCATCAATGATGCCATCGGGGCTGGCTGCGAGCCATGGGAGCTCCGGACAAACAACCAGGCCCGTTTGTCGCACGGTGCAATGGTGGTCAAGCATAAATTTCCTCCTAGCTTTGGGCTCACTGCGGCGGCCGTGCTCCGTCGCTTGATTCCCTCGAAAGGATGGGTGAAGTATGTCCTTCACAGCCTTGGAAGGGTCAGTTGATGCCAGTATTGGTATTCTTTTAACCATCGACGACGTTAACCGCATGCGGCGGCTCTCGTGCCAGAGTGTGCAGTTGCCTTGGTCCGTTGTTTTTTTGCAGAGCAGGTCCATACTAGGTGCACTGATGGCAACAAGCTCGTTCTATGCCTCCCAGCAGGCAGGACAGCTGCTTGGAAGGGTGGTCGCATCTTCGTGGCTGCTGTGAGCAAGAGGTATTGCGTCGCATTGAACTGCTGAAGGGTCTTGTGCTGCTGGAGGGTCTCGTGGAGGTGCCATCAGTGTCTGATGAAACAAGGTCCCTGGTATTTTCATGAGCCCTGCAAGGGGGCCGTCTTCAATGTGATGAAGGTACTCTTCATGTGTGTGAAACTGCAGCACATCTACGGTCCCAATAATTTCTGTGTTTTGCTCATTCTTTCCAAATGAAGTGTTGTCGAGGCTTGTTGGCGTTACGTTTTTCTTGGTACCTCGGTTCCAGGCGGCAGCTTCGTCGGTGCAAGCTGTGCCCGTCATTTTGTTCACAAAGGCATGCTCCATCTTCCACAAGATGGCCCCAACATGGCTACACACCTTTGCCTGGCCAGCCATGCAGGAACAGCCTCCTGTAACTACCCGACCAGTGGTGTGCACGCATGCCCATGCCTTGTGTGGAGCAGCATTAAAGGACTGGGATCTACCCACTTCTGCTTTGAAGTAGCCCAGCTGGTCGCTTATTCTGTGGTGAAGGACAGTTCCCACGAGGCCGCTTGTCAGGTAGAGATACGACTCTAGGCTCTTGTACGCTCTGACCTCCTGAAGATCGCAGGCCTTTGAGTGGACCAAGTAGAAGACGATATCCGGCTTCTCTATGGGTGGCCACGACTTCATATTGTCCTCCCACATTGACACCTCCTTAGGATGCACGTAGGACATCGATTCTGAAAGGAATAAAAAAGACGATCCATGCTTACGACTCGTGTATGTCCAAATGTCGGTCAACATTGAATTCTCGATATAGGACAAAGAAGCTATTTTTAGCAATATTTCACTTTGTAATGAAATTTTGTTCCTAAACAGAATTAGCATAGTTCATGTTTTTCCAGACACTGCTACTCAATAATGCGTTTGTGCCACTCGTGATCACATGGGGCAGAGTTAATTAAAGCTGCATTTTAACAGTTCGTGCTCATGATTGACATTATTGAGAACGGCTTGTATTGTAAAGCGAAGTCGTTGAAAGAATTCCTATATTGAGTCTTTCTTTCTTTCTTCGCCACTGGGCGGTTTAAAGGGCAGTGCGCCTGGCACATTTTTTGCTTACCCGCATTGTAATTTTACCGAACTAATGGCAGTAAGCTCTAGCGCAAGCGAGCACGGTCATGTCTACTTAGAAACCTGCCCGACTCCCTGACTGCTGTGATTCCTGCCAGCCGAGAGGACATTCGCAAACTACAGCATAATGTAGCGCATGCCATTTAAGGTTGTTTAACTTGTCGTCTTGTGTAAAATGATTGTTGTAGTCATCCTTCTTCACCCCCCCCCCCTTTATTTTTATTTGTTAGGGCTATGATAGGTCAGTTCGGTAGGCACACCAGATGCATGGGCCCAGTGATTTCCCTACACCCCCCCCCCCCTTGTTTTCTAAACCTCAATGCCGCCTCCCGCCTCGCCAAGCCTGCCCCTCCATCTGCCTCTGCTCTGCAAAAAAAGAAAAACAAATTTCTAGACACCACATTTAATTTTAATTCCTGGGGGGACCGCTGCATGGGCCTCCGCCTTTCCACCGCACTAGCGCAGCCAGCAATAACGCTATGCTCCAACTCCCCGAGGTCCGAGTCGCGCCGAGGTCCGCGGCATGACGGCAGTTCAAAGCATGAACGGTTCGATCTCGCGGTCCTAACGTCTTGATAGGTTTTACTAATGTGAATGCTACAATTAATTATACTACATTTCTGTAAACAAAATGATTACATAAGCTTACCGTCAAGTACCAAGAAATCCAAAGAATCCCAGGCGTCGCTCGTCGAAACCATCGCCACGGCTCGCAAAGGAAAACGAGCTTGAAAAAATATATGGGTGATTTCAGATAAGATCGACCAAAGGGTGGCTGGTCGACATTTTTAAATCAACTGATGTTTTTATATGACATTGTCTAGTGTCTGGTATAAACGAATCCACACTTAGTTTTGACCAGAAAAAAAATTTGGAGACAAGAAAAATCGTAAGGCAGGGAGAGGTGGACAGTTGCAATAACGCGCACTGATGGAGGGGGCAAGTTTGAAAGTGAATAATTAAAACAATAAAATTAGGAGAATTTTAAAACTTTTTACAAACAAACTATGGGTACAACTTGCTTGTAATATAAAGTAATCATATTTATTTAAAATTTATTTAGTTTTCTAAAAATTGCCAAACATGCCTGCCCGAACGACAAATGGCAAACTTTGGAAATCTTTATCTCATGAAATAATTTAATCATTATTACATAACTTGCAGACATTATTTTACTAATATATGGCTATTATTGAAAAAATAAATAAGGTATCTGAGTGACACAATATTTACAATATATTTAGGCAAACATGGGAAAAAAATGAAACAAAGAAAAATTCCAATGCGAATAAAAAAAAAACACCACCTTCGATTTTTTTAAATTTTGGGTACCCTGTTATACTCTATTTCGGCATTCATTTCTATTAAAAACATGTTGCATCGTTGCACTGTGAAAGAAGAAACAACTCCCCAAAGTAGGGTCCTTTTTCAAAGCCTACACTTAGCAGTGTCCTATACAAGAAGTGACTCTGAGTTCCAGTTTCATGAAACTTGCACAAATCTTTTATATACATTTATTCAGATGAGGTCATTGATAAAAAGAGCGATCGGTCACACAGTAAAAGGGAGGAGAAACTATATACAGCATTTTACATAAGCGTACAAAGTGGTATCATATTAGAGACTAATGATTTGAGAAAAGATGATGCAGTGTGAAGTTGTACCTTCCGGTATATTTTACATCTAGAGTAAAATAAATAACTTTACTTCCACACACGAAAACAAAGATATAATAGTAAGATATTTAGGTTGGCTGTGTATTTACGATTACAAACAATTTCAGGTGACGGATGCCATAGTGCCTAACTGGAGCAGCTTCGATGCTCTTGGTGTGTGAATGAATCGTGGCAAGCCGATATATTTTATCCTGCTCGAGGATAATATTTTGGGATTTTTTTTATAGTGATCAGATAAAAATTATTAGTAACCACCAACAAAAACAGTAGGTTAAATACCCCGTGAAGAAAAATGTGATAAATAAGATGTCCCTGCATTCAAAATGAGCAGTCCTTGGGAAATCAAATTCGGCACTTTACGCTAAGGTTTTCCTCGCTGTACCCATTTAATAAAGTTGCTTCCAAGCAGATCCGACTGTCCGTGCTACATATACGTCACAGGTCCCTTCTGTTGATGACTTGCTGAGCCGCCACGCGTGCCAAGACTGAATGCCAGGGAAGGCGCGCACCGTCAGCCACTCTTCTTTTTTTTGTTCACGATACCGAACAACCTCATTTTCGTCCAGATATACAAGATGCACGCCTTTCAGTTTCTTTGATAGAACGCTCACCATTGTCCTGGCCGTCTGAATTGCGCTTACTGAACGTTCTCTCAGGTTGTTCAGCGTGGCCTGGTGCTTCACGAGTCCGCCAACTCCGTCACATGCATTTTTCCCATGTCCAGATGCAGAAAATAACCACTGGGCTTGGGGGCAATCGTCCTTTGCAAATTGGTGAAGCTGGTAGCGATTCTTGAAATGACTGGCGGCGCCGTCACTTACGTACGTCACGTACGAGTATACCGCAACGTTGTCTTCAACCCACTCCTTCACTTTTTCTAGAGCCAAGCAAGCGTGAGCGGCGTCGTGACACAGGTCCTCACTGATGATGGCAAAGCTGTTTGTAGATTTTCTTGTCGTCACTACACATGTAAATATCGAAACTTGTTTTTCTTTTCCAGTGATATGCTTGCACTTCGTCAGGAAGCACGATGGTCCAGTTTTCAGCAAAGTCAAAATGAAAGACAATGCTCCCGCGTTGCATGCACTGTTTTTCATCGTAGATCGCATTACCTTGCGTTTGCCGGATATGGTTGTGAAGTACCCAACTTCCAACCGTCACTTGGATGACTTTTAGGAAAGTCTCAGGTTCCAAAGTTTTTTTCACAAGGTCGCCGGACTCCCATGTTGCAAGCATAATCTCTTCATCCTCCGGGATATCAAGTTCCTGGAGTGTAAGAAACTGGCCTTTTGGGCAGTGATCACAGTCTCCTTGAAGGCACAGTTCTGTTGCTGGGTCGCACAGAAATGCCGAGTTCATTTCACCAGTGTTGAATGTTGAGCCTGTAACGTTCTCTAGAGCGGCAATACAAAGATAATAATTGGCGCAGCGCACACAAACGCACACTTCTTGGTGTGGAATACATTGGACCCATCTAGGGCGCAACGAATAAAATTTCGTTAGCCCAACGCCGGAATCGGGATGCTTGTCTTTGTATATACGGAAGGCCTCTCGTATTGAGCGTGTCATGAAGCGTTTTGGCACGAACGTTTTCTCTCCGTTGAGCATGACAGAGATGACGTCCTTCTGGTTGGGACTTTGGCGCGAACATTGTAGCTCGTCTTTCGTGAAGTACTCTAGGGCAGCAAACAGGTTCTCAGGGCTCACCTTGCACCTCGTGTAAGGATCCGGCTCATACCACACGCCATGCTTTTCCTTGAGTTTTCGGGATTTACTGATGAGGTACATTGAGGCCTGTGGAATCATCTTTTGAACCTCATTCTTCGTCAGTGTTGACGGCAGGAGTGTAAGCAGTTGACAGCGTTCCCGGAGAGAGGTGGCGGTTTCAAAGGCCTGCCGAAAGTTGTCCACCCACTCAGTGCATGTGGAGCATGTTGGTTCGGACGACCCCGATAGTGCGTCCCTGTCGTACGCAATACGTAGCCTTGAGCGTATATTCTTGACAGCAACCTGCTACAGTTCTGTCTGCTTTCTCTTGACATAGGCAGGCCTGTCCCGACTTCTTACGACGCTTGGTTGTCTCAGCGGCGACACATCTGAAGGTAGTATGCTGCGATTTAGATCTTCAATTGCTTCTTCAGCTGGCACAAATATGTCAGGGCACTGCTCTGAGCTTCGCATCGAGATCTCCTTAGTGATGTGCATGAAGCAATGGTAGCACAGGTAGTCCGTCGCACTCACTTTGGTGGAACAGTCGGGCGGAAGAATTTGCTTCAACGAGTTTAGGTCCAACTCGCCAACACTTCGAAAATTCCGCTGCTTTGGTATAGTCTTTTTGTGTTTGCAAAAGTAATCTGCACAAAACACTCGTTCGGAGCTCCAGGACGTCTTCATAATGTATACACAAATAATAGAAGTTAAACCCCAACTGATGGCATATAATTGCCAAGTGAAAGAACTACTGGGTGCACAAGTGACAAGTCCGAGGCTGAGGAGCTCACTCACTGCAAACGTACATTTGAAAAGAGAGGTCACAACTGAGGCTGTCGGCAAAGCTTGATCCACGTCAAAGGAAGAAAGAGGGAAAGTCTCCAGACAAAAAATTGTGGTCAGCGGCCTTCGAAAAAGACTTTCCGGAATCGCACTGTCGTCCCTCGACGCGCTGATATGAAAGCACCCGAGCTTCTACCACGTGGTTCATGACACAGCCTGAGCCATGTCGGCGACCGGTTCGCGAGGGGTTGGAGGTGGGGTTACGTTGATGGTCACTCGGATTAGCCCTTGCTGTACTGAGCTACCGCCTGCAGTGCCTTATCGCCGGCTGGTGTCAACAACGAGAACACACACACCCTGTCTACACCAAAACTACAAGCGTTCACCGCACACGCGTCGCCGCCGCTTTTAAGCTTTTGTGAAATTGCTTTCTTTTGCCGCGGAGAACCGCCTTATCTTAACTACGCGCCTGAAATCCTTCCAGGCGGGCGTACACAATATCAAGCGTTTCGAGAAATGCCCGTGGAGTAGAACTATGGGAAAATTCGGAGCCCGCGATGTCGATATCGTCGCCGTTGTGTTAGTACGCCGTCGCGTACTGCAGTCCCCCGGTGGGGGAGGGGGGGGGCGGTCTTACTACGATAACATGGCGACAGCGTTTACACTCTATGTATTTACGCGAGGCTCGAGTATTTGGGGATAATGCTGCCGGTTGGTGTGCCCCTTTGTGCCTGATATTATCGCCCGTGACGCCAGCGAGTGAGATGGCGACAGGCATGACTGCTCAGTAAACAGGCGTCGGCGGCCATGTTTTGCTGGTTGAAGCGAACCCCCTTGTCCTTGACAGCGAGCGGGGAAATGCGAAAAAAAGATTGTATCGGCCGTTTTGCCAGAACTAGCGACGAGTGTCGTCTGCGGTTTCCGGCAACTATTTTGCCATAATCGTGAGCTTAGCGAGGAAATGATTTTTGCTAGCCACAGAACACTACCATGCAGAAAGGGAATGCTTGAACATGTTTTTGTTCTGGATATATATCAGGGATATATATGAGAGAGAGAGAGAGAGAGATGAAGGTAGAGCGGAAGAGGGAATAGCATATAGTGTCGCAGGAGAATAAAGTAAACAAAGTTCCTAGTGGCCGATGGCTGCATGATCTTTTCTCGGATCACTAGTCCGTAATATGATACCTCTTTGTACACAGTAGTTTCTCCTTAATTTAAGTGTGTGAACGATTTCTTTAGTTATCACTGGCCTCATTTGAATAAAAATATATAAAAGATGTGTGTTGGTTTCATGAAACTGGAACTCAGAGTCAGTTCTTGTATAAAACACTAAGTGTAGGCTTTGAAAAAGGACCCTACTTTGGGGAGTTGTATCTTCTTTCTCAATAAAATGATGCAACATGTTTTTAATGGAAATGAATGCCGAAATAGAGTATAACAGGTTACCTAAATTTAAAAAAAATCGAGGGTGGTGTTTTTTTTTTTTTTATTCGCATCGGAATTTTTCTTTGTTTGATTTTTTTTCCATGTTTTACTAAATATATCCTAACAATTG